ATATTTAAATATATGACACAATTTTTAATGATATATTTTAAGACAGAAAATTTCTTAAAATGGTGAGAAATTCTTTTATCTTCAAAGAAACAAAATAGCTTTATTCAGCCTTTCAACAACTAACTTTTGGTCACAGTAAGGTCTTGTGCAGTTTTTAAAGCCTGGACTTCTTTATTTGAGGAACACTCCTTGTCAGCCTTAGAGATCTCATGACACGAGGATAACCTGGCTCAGTGCCGCTCAGTACATTCCTGGGTTATATCCTGATTAAGTGAGTACAAAATGAAAGAAAACTAGAAAGAAAGCAAGGGAAAAAGAATGAGCAACTTCGCTCATAATAAAGTCAAGTTTATTCATTTTGTCTGATCTGAACAAGAAGCCTAAATTATTGTAATAAAGAAAAAAATGCAATGCAGTTTGAGATGCAAAATGTTAAGTATTATCCAATAAGTGGCTAATGTTGTAATGTTGTTTTCAGGATTGTCCTTGCCAGGGAATTTTTTTTTTTTTTTTTTTTTTTTGTCCTGCTGAGGATCAAACCAGGGCCTCTTCATGGTGGGCCAGCACTGAAATAATAAGTTACACCCCTCACTCTCTTGCCAGAGCTTTTAGTGAGCAGAGAGGGGCCAAGATGTTGAACAAAAGTCCTTTGTCATCTTGTAATCTAAACAATGTTTAATACAAGCAAATATTTTTGTTACAATGTTTGTCTATTTTTTTTTCCATGAAGAGGATTTCTGGTAAAATTTCACATCAAAATTTTAAACAGTTCTTTCAAAGCTAGGAAGCACATACTTTGAAATAGAAATTGTTTAACTAATTCATGGGAAAATTGAAGGCCGTCTGGAAGATTTATTGATTCATTTAATCCCTGGTTGTAATTCATCAGAGTAGCATTGTAATATGCTTTTCCAGAGCATGGAAAGCTGAGGGAGGAAAATGAATTCTCCATATAGTGGCCAAATTGTTTTGCAGTTTGCTGCAATTTAGCTTATAATTTGAACCAGCAGTTTATGAGACTCATATCATCTTTCTTTTTCTATCCTTTTCAGACATAAAATAACTCACTACCATTACACTTATAAAAAGAACAATAAAAGAAAGCAAATATTAGCAAATACAAATATCAGTAAATGACCTTAAGTTAAGAAACCCAAAGTATAGCTTATCCTTTTAAAATTTATTTTAACCATTCATAAAAATATAAATATTATATGCTGAGTGTGGTGGCACACACCTATAATCCCGGCAGTTGGGAGTCTGTAGAAAGAGGATTGCTGAGAGGTGGAGGCCAGCCTGGGCTACATAATGAGTTCAAGGCCAAGCTGAACTTCATAGTGAGATCCTGTCTCAAAAAACAATAATGACCACAAAAATTACACATATTAATGCGGTACCATATTATGTTTCAATGGAGTATAAGTTAAACATACCATCCCCTCAAATAGTTATTTGTTCTTTATGATAAAAACATTCAAAATCCTTTCTTTTAGGTTTTCGAAGTGTTCAGTACATAATTATTATCTATACTTACCTACTTCTTAGTCCTATCTAACTGTAGCTTGGTACTCATTGATCAACCTCTCTCCTTCACTCCCTTCCCTTCATGTGGCACTTTTCCTTCTGTGCATGGCTTAATTCACTCACCGTAATTATCTCCAGTTCCATCCACCTTGTTGCAAATGATAGAATTTCCTTCTTTTTATGGCTGAATAGTATTCCACTGTGTTATATGTGCCAATTTTCCTTTATACGCTCATCAATTAATGGACAGTACAAGTGGGATTAAGCCATTTCAAAAAGATTCTGCAGGGACAAGAAAACAATAGAGTGAGGAGACAAACCATGGAATAAGAGAATGTGTTTTTGAACAATAAATCTGAGAGAGGTTGAAATACAGAACATATAAGGCATTTCACATATTCAACAGCAAAATACCCAAAACAAACAAATCAACCTGATTAAAAATGGGCAGTAGAGCTAACCAGACATTTCTGCAGTCAAATGCTCTACCACTGACTATACCTCCAAACCAGACATTAATGAAAAGAAGATATACAAATGGCCCACAGACACATGAAAAGAGGCTGAACATCATTAATCATCTGGGAAGTACAAATCAGAGCCACAGTGATGTATTTATCACCTTACTGTATTAAGAAGGGCTGTTGTTGAGAAGACAAAATATAATTACGGCTGGTGAAGATCTGGAGAAATGGGACTACTTGCACACTACTGGTGAGAATGTAAAATTAGGCAGCTATTATGGATAACAGTATGGAGGCACCTCAAAAATTAAAAAAAAATAGAATTACTATAGGGTCCAGCAAACTCACGGCTAGATATATATACAGTGAAAATGAAATCAGTATGTCAAAGAGACATCTGCATGTTCACATTCATTGAACCAGTATTCACAAAAGCTAAGATATGGAAACAACCCAAAGGTCCATCAACTAATGAATGTGACTCATTCTTCTCAAATCATTCATAAATATTCAGATCCTGATATTGATATTGACTCTACGCTCTGTTTTATATGTTGATACCTTAAAGGAAGGTAACTTCTTGTATTATGTACTCTTTGGTCCATCCACACATCTTTGGATTAAGTGTCAATAGAGAGCATAATTTGATAATGCCTTTCATCTTATTGTTGAAATGAAAATTTTCTCTGAAAAGTCAAATAAGCATAAACATTGCCTTTTTATATTTTCCAAAA